AGCTGGAAAAAATTTGTTTTAGGGATTGAAAATAATTAATTATGTTAGTCAAAAGCAACTTTCAATTGCTTCCAAAGTGATAAAAGTTATAAATTCTCCTAGTTTGTTGATTTGAGAGACTGCAGTAGAATTACTTGCACTATTACTTAGACTAAAGGAAACTAGTTTATATGGAAGGTAAGTTGTTTGCTGTAGGTGAGACACAGAAGGCCATTGGAATATCCTTTAGAAAGTTTAAGAAAAAACTGTTTAGGCTAATTACTGGATAGTTTTTTTCTTGAGGTTTTTTAAGTAAAAGCAGCGGATGTAGTGTTGAAAGGAAGAAGAATCAAAAGGCTGAAGGGAACAATTCAGATACTTTTTCTTACCTCACCAGTGTCGTTATAAACGCTTTCTGGGCAACCTAAAATGTTTAATGTAGTCCATTTTTAGAATTTTAAAAATATGTCATTGTCTTTTGAAAGCGTTTACAGTTTGATAAGCTATTTATTTGAATACCTATGCTGGAATTCCAGATCATTGACCACAGTCCTGTACCAGTTGTAGCACCATGGAAGATCATTCTTACCTCGTCTGATGGAGCGATTATTGGTGTATTTACAGTCACACTGCTGTTTGGTAATCTGAAGGTAATTACTGTGGGCAGAGCTTACTGCTGATTTATTTTTTCAAGTATAGAATACTAGTCAAGTGGCTTAGTAAATATGGTATGATACGGCCACTGGTGCAGGAGTAAGCTAGTATATAGCAAAGCATAAAACTTTAAAGTTTCTGCAGCATAAGGCTGCTATTTTGAAAAAAAACTAGCGTACTTCTAAACAACTGAGCATAAACGCTAACTTTATAAATGGAGTTGTCACTTGCTGAATAGAATTATCGTAGAACTCGATGTAATCTCCATTGTTAAGAAGTAATTGTGAAAACGAAATTTTGATCGTGTTTTTGGATGCCGCCGAAAGGAGGTAAACGCAATCCTCAGATGCCGGATACGGTGAGGGGTAGCCAGGTGAAGTAAGCTGAATTAAGGTCACTTTAAGTAATTTATCTTATTGAAGTTGGTGAAAATTAACAATTTATAAGTTTTTATCGATACGTTTTTCTCAATGACAAATTCTTCGGAAGAACTTTTTTAAAGTGTCAAAAGTTCTGTGAAGGTCAACCGCTAATTTCTCCTTTTTACTTTGTACCTTTATTTCAACTTTTTTGTTCTTCTTCGGAAACAGTGCTATAAAGTTTTGGTGGCTGAGGATGAACAAAAAAACCACATAAATTATTAATTTAAAATGCATAATCAAATAATTTTTTTGATGCAAAATGAAATAGAAATACTTTATAGTCGAGTAAGGCAGAAGATTTTATATTTATTCTTCAAAAACTCGTCAATGTATTTGTTGTGTTTTTTTAGATTAAGATCCTTCTAATAGATTAGGCGGTTTCATTTGGTAAAGAAAGTTATAAATTATTCTACAGTGTTTAGAAGGATGTACAGTGGCGAAAAAGTTAAATTTTAACCTTTCCGTTGTCGCGATAGACATGTGTGGGTGGTGGACACTGGTTTTTAGTTACTGGTAACGTTTCATCTGAAGAAATTTACGGTGACGAAATCGAGTATTAGATGAGTACCAAGAAAATTGCAGAGCAGAAAATGCTGAAGATTTAAAGTGCTACATTTTTGCTGTTACAATGAGTTTATTTTTTGCAGCTTTTTAGTCACAAAATTCTGTTACTAGTCGGTTTATAATGATAGTCTAATTTCACTGGTGAGAATAGAACTACTAGAAACTGAGTTCCAAGTAATCTGCCATTTTCCTTTCCCATTGGATTTGAAAACAACGTATACGGCCTGTTTAGTACTGTTGAAAACAGTTTTTAGTGCAGTTTGACTGGGACCGCAAGTTGTTCCGTTGTAACTGAAATAATATGTGCTTTTCCAAAAAACTTTTGCATCATTAAAGAAACAGATAAATTATAGTACGAGAACTAAATCAAAAACACTGACTGAATGCTTTAATTGGAATTGCATTGTCAAAGCCCAGTTTGCTACAGTAATATTTCCTGTTCTTTTTTTTTTTTTTTTTTTTTTTTTTTTTT